CCCTCCCCCCTCTTGGTTAGTCTTGGGCTAGTTCTATAAGGCTTAACATCCCTAACGAACTTTCAAAAATGATATCACTTTTTAAACCCAATTTCAAGGAAAATTAATTTATGAGAGTTGGGAGAGATTTAAGGAAATACTTAGGAAATGACCTCACCATGCTTTACATAATTGGCTGGTTATTCAATTATATTATGATGAATTAGTAGGATCTCTTAGAATACTCATAGATGATACCGTTGGAGGATCATTAATATCTTAGCCATTTGAGGAAGAACATGAATTAATAGAGGAAATGATTACTAATAATTTATAGTGGCTAGCTTATAAGACAGATCTTAAAGGAGTAGTAGGAATATAAGAATCTGATACTTTATCAATGTTGACTACACAAGTTACAATAATTTTAAATAAGTTGAGCACAATATGAGTCAACTAATTTTTAACAGTCAACTAATTTTTAGAAATTTATGCAATATTTAAGTACAATGGGGTTAATGATGATGCCATTAAACTTAGATTTTTCCCATTTTCTCTAAGAGATAAACCTATGATGTGGTTGAATTTTTTACCCACAAGATCTATAACCACTTGGAATGAACTGGCTCATATATTTCTTTCTAAGTATTTCCCACCTTCAAAGACTGCTAACTTAAAATGATATCACTTTTTTTACCCAATTTCAAGGAGAATTAATTTATGAGAGTAGGGAGAGATTTAAGGAAATACTTAGGAAATGACCTCACCATGCATTACATAATTGGTTGGTTATTCAATTATATTATGATGAATTAGTAGGATCTCTTAGAATACTCATAGTTGATACAGTTGGAGGATCATTAATATCTTAGCCATTTGAGGAAGAACATGAATTAATAGAGGAAATGATTACTAATAATTTATAGTGGCTAGCTTATAAGACAAATCCTAAAGGAGTAGTAGGAATATATGAATCTGATACTGTATCAATGCTGACTACACAAGTTACAATAATTGTAAATAAGTTGAGCACAATAAGAGTCAACTAACTTTTAGAAATTTATGCAATATTAAATACAATGGGGTTAATAATGATGCTATTAGACTTAGATTTTTCCCATTTTCTCTAAGACATAAACCTATGATGTGGTTGAATTTTTTACCCACAAGATCTATAACCACTTGGAATGAACTGGCTCATATATTTCTTTCTAAGTATTTCCCACCTTCAAAGACTGCTAACTTAAAATGATATCACTTTTTTACCCAATTTCAAGGAGAATTAATTTGTGAGAGTTGGGAGAGATTTAAGGAAATATTTAGGAAATGACCTCACCATGCTTTACATAATTGGCTAGTTATTCAATTATATTATGATGAATTAGTAGGATCTCTTAGAATACTCATAGATGATACAGTTGGAGGAACATTAATATCTTAGCCATTTGAGGAAGAACATGAATTAATAGAGGAAATGATTACTAATAATTTATAGTGGCTAGCTTATAAGACAGATCCTAAAGGAGTAGTAGGAATTTATGAATCTGATACTTTATCAATGTTGACTACACAAGTTACAACAATTTTAAATAAGTTGAGCACAATATGAGTGAATTTAAAATTAAGAACTAAATCATCTATGCAATGGGAGGATCAAAACTTAATTGAAATAGTAATGTGCAATAGATTGAAAATATTAATTTGATTGAAATACAAAATAATCCCTACTCTAATAAATATAATTTAGGTTAGAGGAACCATTCTAATTTTACTTTGTTAAATAATATTGTTGGTAATAATTAATAAAATTCTAATTAAAAAAATAAAAAAGTAAATTAAAGCAATCCATGGTAACCTACTGTTAATTCTAGATCTGAATATATTCAAGGATTTAATCAAAAGAATTAGTTTGAAAGTAGAGATCATTATTGGAAGATGAAGTGATGAAGTTAGGGACCTAATTGCAAAATCAAGATGCTTAATTTAAAATTTTGGAAACCCAATTAAGTTAGCTTGGAATTTTAGTTAGCAATATACCTATTGGATTATTATCAGCAATACTAAAGTTAACTCAAAGTAAAAAGAGAAAGATTTTAGTGAAAATCATTTAACAAATGGTAGCATTGCACCTTAGGTAAATTGATAAAGTTAGGCAAGTCTAGTTGAATACTATAAACTTAGTGTTGTATAGGAGGCAACCTAATGTTTAATTTTTATGTGCTTAGAATATTAGATTTAGCAATATTGTTTAGTAGTGAGTTTGCATGTTAAGAGAGAGAGAGAGAGAGAGAGAGAGAGGAGCACTACAACACTAATCATAACATCATTGTAGTTGGCTGTACCATAGTGGTTTAAAATTTAAAATTTTGTGCCACCGCGCCTATGTAAATTATAAAAGGTAAATTTAAAATTTTGATTTTCTATCCATGATAGTTCTTCTTGAGTGAAGTATTATTGAGTGTCCTCTATTCCTTTCTTAAATCTTAAAGTAATGGGTGTAAAGAAACAAAATCATTTATCCTGAAAAAGAAGTGAAGTGGACTTAAGGGATGAAGATTCCTTCTCTATTCTAAATATTAAGAGTTCTATAATAATTGATAAAGTTCATGAATTTAGAAATAAAGTTTATAAAGATACACAAATCTACAATGCATAAATGAAGAAGATACATGGGTGTGAAGTTCTAAATCACAAATTTTCTCTTGGTCAAGATGTCTTGCTCTTTGATTATAAGAAAAAATATTACCATGAAAAATTTAAATATGGATAGACTATCCCTTTTACTATTATTAGAGTATATCCTAATGGTACCATAAGGATTCAAGATAAATAGACTTTCACATCTTCAAGGTTAATGATCATAGATTGAATCTTATGGATGAGAGGTAGGAATAATAAATATACTGAACATGCATATAAGTATTTTTCATTTTCAATGTATTTTAGAGAGAGGTTGTGTGTGTGAATAATACTCTTATTTTATTGCATATTTTTGCTTTAGGGGAGATTTCAAGAATGTGAAGGATTGTCATGTTTATAGCACTACAGAAAAATGTGGTATTACCATCGGATCTTTCGGCGGATTTATATACGTCAGTTACTATACATTTTTACCGGCGTCGTATGTGACGGAACCATTACGATAAAATTACTGGCACATAATGCACCGGTGTTTTTTTGATGCAAATTATGCTGGTTTTTACACTGTAATATGAAAGCATGTCATGTAATGCGGCATATTCTACACTAAAAATTTTTGGCCTAGTTACTAGCGAATTAGACGCAGATCCTTTAAAACTCAATGAAATAGTACATATTGAGGGGACCACTTCATCTCATCCTTCCACACATTCTTAGCCTGTCACACATAGTCAGCCTACCACTTCATCTCAGCCTACCATAGCCTTTACCCACTCCTAGAGCCAATAGCCCACAGTTCTACTCACCATACACTTGATTTCCTTCACCATATCCCATGCAGAGTACTCCTTTCTACCCTTACTGGTGGGAAAATTTATGTATCACTACGCAGATTTTGATTTCTCCTATTTTGTAATCGAATACTGCATTGAAAATAAAGTACAATCTCGAGAGATTGACACAGCATTCTACAATGGATTCAATATCAGAATAGGGTTTTGAAAATTAATATTTCTATAATTAAACATAGTTCAAGGAATAACATATCATCTCAAAAGAAGAACATGAAATTCTATAGAATATATTTAAAAATAGAAATACGTTTTTTAAAAAAAAATTAATTCATTCTTTTATTTAGATATGGCAAGAAGAATAT